GAGAGAAAGAGAGAGAGAGAGAGAGAGAGAGAGAGAGAGAGAGAGAGAGAGAGAGAACTGGATACATGTCAACCATGGACTTTGTAGATGACAATGTCTTATTACAATGTCAAAAACATTAGACACTAGCCTGGAGAGATGGCTCAGCAATAGATAACTGTTAAGGATACTTGCTACTATTTCAGGAGACCTGGGCTTGGTTCCCAGCACCACATTGTGACTCACAACTCCCTGTAATTCCTGTTCTAGGGGAGCCATCATGATCTTCTGTCCTCTTTGGGCACTGCATGCACACAGGGTACATACATGTGTGCAGGTTCAAACTCAATACACATAAAATAAACATAAATCTTGTTTTTAAATAAAAGGTTAGACACTTCTGTCAGTGTGTTAATGACGTGTGTGTTCTCCTCATTCACAGCTTTACCGTCTGTGATCAGAACGGTGTCTACCATGACAGAAGTGATGACAGAATCAATGAGTTCATGCAGCTTTCCCATACAGCCCCAAACACAAGTGTTGACAGTAGCTAGTTCTCAAATACTAAATACACCAAAATCATTCAGAAAACTATACATTTCTGGGGCCAAATCCTAGTTGGAAGAAAAGGGATCCAAAATTTTAGCATGTCAGACAAAGCTCATCATACTCTACCAACTCACTTTTTTCTTTTTTTTAAATTAAGAATTTTTTATTCATTTTACATACCAATCACAGATCCCCTTTTTCCCTCCTCCCACCTCTCCAGCCTCCCCGCAACACTTTTTTAAAAAAAAAAAAAAAAAAAAAAAAAGATCCCTAAAGTAGAATGTTTTCAAAGAGTAAAATCTTTGAAGAAATATACAGTCTAACAGAAAATGGAATTAAAGAACACAGGTGAACATTCAGAGTTGGTCAGTTTCACAGCAAGGTGAATAGCCTTGGCCATTCGCACGACCTTTCTCATCACTGCAGTGGGTAGAGGCTTCAGAGAGTAGAAAGGACATATGTGGCAGAACTAGCTAAAGACTAGGTTAATATGTGAGCCCGTGAGTCTGTGACAAAGGCTGTAAGTCCAAAATACACTCACCAAGTTTAACGTCACCAGGTGGAACGGGCAGGCATGACCCAGAACAAACATTCAGAATTAAAATCCAAGAATCACCTGCAAACTTAATGGCAGGCAAAATTCACTTGTTCCTGCTTTGTGAATTATTTAAAGTAAGGGAACAACCCCCATGAACTCCTTAAAGTGAATTCTGTTGGCTTGGCTTGGTAGCTGTACATTCCAAGAAAGTATTAGAAATATTTTAAGCACTGGGTAATTTTGAATTATTCAGGGAAACCCCCTGCTAGAAAAATTCCAGCTAGAGTGTGTATGCCCACCTTCCTGCCTACAAGAGGACTATATGTATTTTACTACTATAATCTTACTACCCTTCATGTTTTCTTCTGAGGTTTCCCTAACAGTCTAGGTAGAAGCTCGCTTTCCTGCTGGCACATTGCCAGATCATTTAAAGGTGACTGATTACTTTCCTAATACATTCTGCAAGCACACTGGGAGATGGCTATCCCATCTAAAGGGATCCCGAAGCCAACAGTCTAGACCTACTCTTAAAGAGACCCCAGACAGAAGCTTGCCATGAAGCTTCACGTCGCACAGTGTCATTCATCTCCTATCAGTGTCTGGATCAATTGATGAAGAATGGTCATATCCTCTGGCATGTTAACTTTCTGACCAGTCACTCCAACAAGCCTATGAGACACAAGTCCATCTGCTGACCCCTTGGATCACCTACAATGGTCAGAATCTATCACTGCTGCTGTCAACTAAGCTTAGGGGAGTTATGAGCCTCCCTCTTGACCAAAGATACTCCATAGTGTCTGTAGGTAGCGAGAAGAGGGAAGACATGGCCATTCTCTTTATCCTCATCTCTCACTGCCCTCTCAATGTGGTACCTTTAAAGGTTTTCACGTAACGTGCTTTTTCAAAACCAAAGAGATGATATCAGAGTTTGATAGCCACAGTAAAGAGGGTACTGAGCTAGTAAGGGTGTTTTGCTTAGAACTCTTGTTTCTCTCCACTGAGAAAGGAACACACATCACTATTTAAGTTGAAAACATGTATTATATATCTTGTCTATACACAGCAAAGAGAACATTAAAGAAAACATATAAATAGCCAAGACACCTAAAGGTGGTGCTTCACTCGTTAACCATCAGAAAGATGCAAATTACAATGTGGCATCTGATTCACACTTGCAAATGACTAAGATGGAAAAAGCAGACAGTGTCAAGTGTTGGTGGGAATAGGAAGCATCCAGAACTTCCCCACATACTATTAAGTGTAGATTGGCACCGCCATCTTGAAAAGCTGATTCACAACACCTGCTAAAGCTTCACCTCTGCCTACCTGGATACATCAACTTTACTCTTGGGTATCTATCTGTCCCACAGAATGACAACAACAACAACAAAAACAAGCAAACAAACAAACCATTATAGGATCCTCATACCTGGAAGTACATTATGATTCTATTTAAGGAACAATTTTCAATACGCCTAAATAAATCACATAATTTTTTAGGACAAAATGGTCACCTCATGTGGACAGTAAAGAAGGCAGGAACAACTGAGGGCCTTCTTGGGGGCACTAACAATGTCCTGTTTGATCTAGGCTTACAAATATGGATATAAACTTTGTGAATATTAATCAAGTTATATCTTTAGTCTTTGTGTTTTTATATATGTACATTTTAACATTTCTATGCAGATATTACCCTTCAACACAGGTTACAAAATTAATATGGATCAAGGTCACCACTTGCCAGTGAGCATTCTATCCTTTCTCATCTTGTTTCTTACTGTGTGGAGTTTAAGAATTGCACAGGTGTTTGGTGGGAGAATGGGAAAGGGATGGTAGCAAACTTATGATAAATAAATTTGATTGTTCCCCACCTCTTACCTAAGAGGCTCTACCAGGGTCAATAAATTAGATCACTGGAATCTGATGCCTGGAGATTGTAATGATCTCAGAAGTCATCTCACTTTGCTGATGAGAGCCAACCAAGGTCCAATGATGTCAAGGTAACTAAGTCCATACACCTGACTTGTTGAAAAGTAAGGACAACCTGCGCCTTCCACAGGGCAGACCTCAATGTCAGTTGCTTCTTTCACACTTGTGAAAGGGGGAAAACTTTAACCCATTTCATTCTTCTACTTTAGAGGATAATTTGTTCCCGAAAGATCACCTGATGTCTATTATTGAGATAACTGATCAGAATCCCTACCACCCAGAAAGAGCAGAATTCTGAGTACTGAATGTGGAGGTTACATTTTGTAAAAATGAGAAAAGCTAGAGAACTTCACACATAAATTTTTTCCTCTCAATAGGCCTGGGGTGAAATCTCTCCAGTTAATACAATTTTTATTACATTTTCAGTTTTTATTTATTTTGTATAGATGGCATATGTGTGTGGGTTTGTGTGTGCCACAGCATGCATGCAGAGGTCAGAGGAGTTGGTTCTCTTCTTCCATTAAGTGTGTGCCAGGGATTGAACTCAGGTGATGAGGCTTGGTGGCAAGCATCTTTACCTACTGAGCCAATTCACAGGCCATACTACCTGTTTTAGAGATGAGGAAACTAAGGTACGAGGAGAACCCTACTAGTTGGTGCTGGTTTGACAATGGGAACCTGAGTTTACTGCTGTTAATTGTATGAATGTTTGGAATGAGATAGTCTAAGGCTCTGTGATGGAATGCGTAATCTTTGAAGACTTTCAGAAATTGGAACAGGCAGAAAGAGGGAAACTGTGCAAAAACAGCAGAAGACTCATTACAATAAAACAAACAAACAAAAAAACTATGTGTCCATGCATGTGTGAGCACACATGTATGTGTGTAACCATGTCATAACGCATAGGGATCTGATGAGCCAGTCATCATTCAAATGAATCTAGATTAGTTGGGAATTGCTAAAACATTGTTTTATTTTGTAATTTAAATACACTAAAGAATATAGTGACTGTGGTTATGGTTTTGGCTGGATTTCAGGACAACACTATGGAAAAAAAGTTGTTACTGAAAAATCTTAACCAGTGAAGAATAGAGGAGCCCTCATTCACTCCCAGTCCACACCCCAAACCACACCTCTTGCTTAGGCAAGCTGTATCCCACATGTACATCCCCCAAAAACTCCAAATTGGGTTTTCTCACATGTTCCTTCTTCTGGCCATGCCACAGCATGATCACCATGTGTCTCTAATACCAACTCTGCTGTCAGTCTGAGATATTTCTTTCAACGCGACATGAAATGAAAGCCTAGGATGCTATTTACTGCCTTGTATATTTGATTGGATTCTGAGTATCGTTTACATGGATATTCTTGGCCTGGTGTTTGACATAGAAAGATTATACAAAAAGGAAATCATGCTTGTCCCAAGTGCTTTAAAAAGGCCTGCCTCCCCGGGTACCGCATTTATCCTGCTAGTCCACACACGCTGCCCCATATTCTAAGAGGATGCCTTCTGTAAGCAGTGCACCACCAAGAGATTTTTAGAAGAAAAACAAAAGACCCTCCCATTCCATCAAGTTGAAGGTAGGTTAACTCTGGCTGCTGAGTGCAATTTTAGATTGAAATGCAGTTTTCCCCTTTCAAAGCAATGGAGACGCATGTAGCCTGTTAGATTTATAGAATTCCTGGTCTCCCAAGACTTTGCAAAGCGAATGGCATCCATCAAATTAATTTCCTTGGGGATCGTCTCAAACATGGAGAATGAAAGGGTCCAGGCCATTAAACATCAAAAGAATGCTCTAAATGCTCATTAAAGTTCTATTATATTTTCTTCTTTTTTTTCAGAGAGCAGATTAGATTAATTCAATTGAGAATATTATACGTATCAAAGCTGACAGTGTGAATGTGTGGAGTTGGCTGGAAGAGAGCTTAATGCTGCAGACATCTGTTCATTCAAGTTACACAAAACACGAAAAGCATGAGCTCCATTAGACTGAGGCAGACTTACCAAGCCGGCACACGTAGACACAGCAACAGAGGACGAACTGTCATTTCTGATAAATCCCTGATACAAACACTGTTGCACCTCAGGCTCCCGAGTCTCTGAAGCACCGTCCTTTCCAAGTACCTGGACTATAAAGTGACTGCTCAAGATCGCCGAGGGCTTAAGCTCTAAGTGCAGATCCTGTCCAAATGCTGAAAAGCGGTAGTGCAGGCAGCTGCTGGCACCGTGTGCCGAACGCCTTTTCCTGTTGTGCAAAATGTCGTGTGAGATATATGACCCGCCCGAGTCCACTTCTACTGGCGTGACAAAGACGTAATCTGTAATGGAAAAATTAGGCTGTCAGCACCCAGGGCCCACGATGCCAAAGGGTCAGTTTCCAGCAGGCTGCCCCAAAGCCCACAAAAAAAAACCTTGTTCCATGCACCTAACAGCGAAGAGAATTCAGAGAGGCTGGTGTGCACTGCATTCTGTGCCACCAGGGCTCTGCCAACCTAAACTCCTATACAGCTACAGCTGTGGAGGGGACTCGGTAGTGAAGCACTTGTCTAGCATGTAAGAAAATTCTCCTAAACCTGTAAGCTAAGTGCAATTCTGATCAATTTCAAAGATATTTGGGTGAAAGGTCAATATTCAGTCTGAAAAGAAATACAGGGACTCTTCATGTATTAGCCATGGAGCAGATGTATGTAGTTGTTTATTATTATTATTATTATTATTATTATTATTATTATTATTATTATTGACAAAATTTAATCAATATATAGCCACAAAGATTAGTAAATGGGAATTTTTCTTCTGGGAGATTGTTAATTTTGTTTAGGTTGAACTGGGGATGGAAACCTTTCTGGCAGAGTTCAAACCACAAATAACTCACAAAGTATGCAGCTTCTGATGATTCCTGGGCTCATTAACAAGGGGCAGTCAACTCTCTCTCCCACTGCTACTACACATGAGAACAGGATGCCAACACTTGGATCTCCTTTACAGTTTCAAGCAGCTTCCACTGGGGACTCTCCTGTTTAATCTGAGGCCTAAAACACAACCTAGGCAGAAACCCGCCTCCAAGCCTTCAGAAGCATCCTAGATAGAGGCTGATGTTTTAAACTGCTCAGACATGTTGGAGGGGGTGTGGCGGATCAGGGACACCTGGAAAGGCATGTTTAAAAATGCCTTCCCCCTGGCTCCCCTGAGCAGCACTAATTGCTGTATGATCTGGGGGTGGGGTGGGGGGGCTGGACAGCTAGGAAATAATTTGCTGTGGGAAAGAGCGGAGTCAGTACACTGCTTTCTTTCACAAAACATTGGAATTGAAAAGCATCGTCCCAGAAGATGACGTGGAGCATGCCCTGTGCACATTAAAAAAAAAAAAAAAAAAAAAAAAGTTCTGGGTTTCCACTTTCGAGGCACAGAATGGGAAACTAATTTGGAAAGTGTTTAGAAAGATTCCGAACAACTAAGAGGCATGTTTGAGTCACTTGGGTCCTTGGCTCCCAGAAGAGAAAAGAAAAGAGAGAGAGAGAGAGAGAGAGAGAGAGAGAGAGAGAGAGAGAGAGAGAGAGAGAGAAGGAAGAAATTTTCCTTCCCTGAACAGTCAACAATAATGAAATGAAACATCATTAAGAGATGCTAAGGAATCAGGAAGTCTTACAGTCTATAGGGATCAATACACAATATTCTAATTAGGCTGACATTAGCAAAGAAACCCCAATCTTACAATATGCCTTGTTTCTTTCTGGACCATTTGTGAGTTTTTAAGGTGTAATCAACTCTTTTATGGCTCTTTTCACCCTCTCTTCTTTTAAACTAACAATACCCTATCATTGACAAATTTTTCAGAAAATAAAAGGAAAAATGTGTTTCCCTTAAAATTGAGGAGGACACATTTTAGTTCTCAAAAATTCCTGATATGTTGCTCTGCAGGTATGTGGCTTTTGATTAAAGCCAGCCTTCCTTCCTTTCTTTTTTTTTTTAAAGAGAAGACTTATTTTCTCCATCTACCAGAGTCAGAGCTGACTACATAATAGCCATTTCCGAAATATGTTCCAGACAGTTTCTACAGTGTGTGTTTCTTACCTCCTTGTGCACAGCCATCTGAAACTCCACCTGCCCTTACCAGGGAGTGTTAGCCAGCCATCCCAACCCCTTATCCCCTACCCACCCCAGACACCTGCTACAAGTTTGTTTCCATTCAGTCCTGTTTGGGAAAGGGGCCAGTGAGAGGTCCCTTGTAAAGAATGATGTGCTGTGTCAGTTCAGGTGCTAACAGGGGCTGGGAAATGTAGCTCAGTGGGTGAGTTCTTGACCGACCAACATGCACGAGGCTCTGGGTTCAATCCTCACTACTATATAAACCAGGTGTGTTGGACATTCCTGTGAAACCAGCATTAGGGAGTGGGGGAAGGAGGATTCTAAGGTCAAGGTCATCTTCTCTGTAGTTAGACTACATAAAATCCTGTCTCCAAAAACAAAACAAATAAGTCCTTATAGGCCATGCTTGGAAGAGAAGGGCGTGCTGGCCATTAGATCCTGGTGAATAGGAGGGAAGTTTTAGAAACTTCTGACTGACTCTGAGTGGACAAAAGGTAAATTTCACACGAGAGTGTGCTGCTGGGTCTCTTGTCCTCTCACTACCCATTCTCTGCAAGCCTTTGTCCCTAATTCTAGCACCTTCCAGTCCCAGAATGCCTCCTTGCATCTGGACAAGAGGACTCAATCCTACAAAGATGACAATTTAGAATCCAGAGAAATCCATGTTGGCCAGTCAAGTCTTGCTCAAGAGCCCGGAGCAGACATGAATTGTTCTTCTGCAGCTGGTGGGAAACGCTGGAAACAAGGGTTTCCCCCTCTGGGAGTATCGCAAAGTTAATAAATGAGAAAAGGTCGAGTGTACTCTGGACCTTTGAAACGGGGGGGGGGGGGGGACGGGACAGGGGACGACGACGACTTAAGAGACAGAAAAAAGGACCTAAAACACCTTGTGCTAGCGCTTTCCACCAAAAGGCATCTTTGGATGTCCATGGTACAATGTCAGTGAAGAAAGAAGGGAAGGACGACGGGAAAGCGGCAGGAGGGGAAACGGGGCGGGGGGGGGGGTCACCCCCTCTCAGCCTCAACTAGAGTTAGTTTCTGTGGCTTTCCCAGGGGAGGAAGGAAACGAAGGAGCCTTTTTATCAGTTCCCTACTCGGTGCCCACTTCCTTTCTAATTTCTTACTTAAGTGTGGATTATTTTTCTTAACAAGCCATCTGTGAAGGAGGGAAATTGTTTTCTCATCTATGTGACTCGCGGCTTGAGGCATTGATTTTTCTGATAACTTCACAGACCTTGCCACGTTTCTCCTCTCCAACCAGGGAACTTTTTTTTTTTCAGACAGCACACACCTGCCAGGTTAGGAGGTGCACCTTTTCTAACATTTCTCTCTCTTGAACACAAAGGGGACAGAGTGTGAGGGATGGTGGAGGAGAGAGAGAGAGA